GGTTCTCAAGAACGGGTTTTAATCCCCGTTGGAGAGCTTTTTATTCTGCAGCTTCTCCTCCTTCACTCGACCATCGCGTGTGACTTCCTTCCTCGCTCTCCTTTTGATGCATCGCCTCTTCCGCCCTGAATATAACTTTTTTTCCTTTTTTTATTATTAAAAGAATACAAAATACACCTACTACTACAGAAAAAAACTCTATAAAATACAAAACAAAACAGTACATTTACCCATGTGCACCCATCACCTTCAGGATTAGCATTACACTTCATTCCATCCATTTTCACTCCAAAATTTCATTGTTTCTTCCCTCGGTGTAAACCCCCTCCCTCTCCGAAATACATGTTCTAAAAATACATTCCATATTTTCTTAAAATCATTATTTTTCATTTGGCCTCTACTTATTTTCATATCACATGGCAGTTTATCATGTCACTAAAAGTTACTTCCTTGATTCTGAACGGCTTCTCTTGCTTTGTTGCGCGTCTCAAAGCCTTGCCAGCCCCCCCCCCATCCCAACCCCACGCCAAGGCAGGTCTTTCAGCCTTTCTCGTTCCTCCCCCCACCCCACCGCTGCCTTTCTCTCGACACCGCTGGATCTGGGCTCCAACCATCGTCTTCCCCCCCCCACGCTCTGCCCCCTTTGCCAACCCCTTTGCATGGGGTGGGGTGGGGGTTGTCGGGCCAGGTTTCTCTGGGAGGGGTCGTTTCCCAACCTGAGGGCTTCTCTGCGCTCTCCGCCTCTGGAGGGAAGACCGGGACTACCACCCCCATCATCCGCGCCACAAGCAGGAACCGCAAGACCAACACAGACCCCATCTCTCTCTCTCTCTAGCGCCAGGGCCAGGAGAGGAGAGGAGCAGCGACAGCCCCGCGACGGCACTGAGGCTTTTTGACTCAGATTTAAAGGAGAAACTCCTGCCGAGGCACCGACCCTGGGAAACCAATCAGCTTTGGAGTCCGGGAAGGCGTCATCGGTCGTCAGGCAGGGATGGCCAGAGAACGTCCCGGTCTGGACAGAGTCTCCCCGCGCGACAGAGAGGGAGGGGCAGGTAAGGTTGTGGGGGAGGGGCACCACACCCCCGAGACACCGCGCTGGGGGAGGGGCTCTTCCCTCGTTGAGGAGGGGGTTCTCCTTATTTCAGTCCGGGTGTCTTAGTAGCACCCTACTACCCTGTTGGAAAGAAAGAAAACTCCTCTCCAGGGGTCTTCAACTCTGTGCACAAGCACACAAGGGGGTCCTAGACCAAATCAAGCCTGAACTCTCTCTCTGCAGGCACCCAGGTCGAAAGTGAGGGTGTCCTAGTTCAGGCACTTCATGAGGAAGCAAGAAAAGGCATCCTGAAAAAGGTTGAAGGTAGCAGGAAAAGAGGAAGGTGAAACACGAAATGGGCTGACTTCCTAAAAGAAGCCACAGGCTTGAGTTTGCAAGAGCTGGGAAGAGCTCGCTCATTCATAGGATCGCGGTGCATTACATGACATAAATATTGTAGCGGCAATAATTTACCATAAAAATATCTGTTTCATGGAATTTCCTTTTTAAAAAAGCAATTAATTGAAAAGGTTAATGTTCTACTACAACGAAGCCTTGCTTCGTTTTTCCATTTAATGTCCCTCCCCGCCCTCCGCCCCTTCCAAGGAAGGGCGACCCGTTCCCCCTTCCTGCCAGGCTATCCCCGAACTGGTCCGCCTCCCGTGGGCCTAAGATGAACCGGGGGGGGGAGGTTCTGCTCTTCATCCTCCTCTCTTGGATGGGAGGCCCCTCCCGCGCCTCCCAGTCCCGGGCGAGCCAAACCTCCCCCCTACACACACCATCTCCCTGTGAGGCGCCGGGGCGGGGCAGGTTCGCCTGGCAACAGGCTGGTCATCATCGAGGATTTTTTCCCCATTGGAGGAACATGGCTGGGGGGGGCCCTCTTCTGCCCCATCGCTCCCACTGCCCCCTCGACCGACGCCACCGGCCCTCGGAGACCAGAGGGAGCGCACGGACCTCACCCCTGGGGGCTCCAGCGCCCTCCTGCCTTCTCCTCCCGTTCCCCAGGCCCCATAGCACCGAGATGGAGGGCAGGGGAGGACCCGATTCCCGCGGGGTCAGGGTTTTCTTCCTCCTCGTCTTCCTCCTGGCTGGAATCTCCCGAGCCCTGAAAGGTGAGCGTCTGGGCCCTCGGAGGGAGGGAGGGAGGGAGGGGCTGCGCGCGGGGGGGGGTCTGGAATCACCCCACTTGACCCCCGCGAGCTGGTCCTGAAAGGGACAGGAGCCGCGGGACTCCGTGCCCCTGGTGGGGAGGGGGAACAGAGGTCGCCCCCTACTACCCTTGGGGCTCCTGGGCAGCCTCGCATCGTGGGTCTCCCCCAGCCCTACGTGGGGAAGGCGAGAGGGAGGGGGGCCGGGGCCGCCCCAAGGGCTCCCTCTTTCCTTATCTCCCTCCCTCTTTCCTCCCGTCCTCCTCAGCTGCTCTTCTCCTCCCCGCTGCAGTCCAACACACTCACACGATGGCGGAGTTCTTCCTGGAGAGCTTCCCTTCGGGGGAGAAGGTCGGGGAGGTGGTGTTCGCGTTCGACGACGAGGAGATCCTCCACGTGGATCGGGACCAGGAGCGGACGGTCTGGAGGCTGCCCGATTTCAAGCAGGTGGCGATTTTCGAGGCGCGGGGCGCCCTGAGCAACCTGGCCGTCCTGGAGCGCAACCTGGAGATCACCATGAACCTCACCAACCGGACGCAAGCCCAGAACGGTACCAGGAGGAGGGTCCGGGGAGCTCCCCTGCCCCGTTTAGCGGGGGGCCCTCCCTCCCTCCTCCTTCCCCCCAGGACATCGAGCTGCCTATCCAAAAGGAGGCGTCCGCTGCCTAGACGTCACTCCCACCCTGCCATTCACTGAGAATGTATGGCGAGTCCCTCCTTGGACCCAGACAGACCCAAGTGGAGATGGGAGTCCTGCTCTGTTTCCCAGGAGGTGGTACCTGGAGGGGAAGGGGAGGGGGAGAGGGAGGCCCTTCACCCACCGCAGGTCTGGTGTCCTTAGAGAAGTGGGGGAAGGGGTGCACAACCATCTATCCCTTTTGAGGCAGGAATTGTTCTGGAGCAAGGAGTCCACTCACCCTCTTTGCCACCACCCTC